CGAGCGTAAGCAATGCGGTCGAGAATTTTTTGAAAGTTTTGTCAGGCGGCGGTTAGTGGCTTCCCTTCGCAGGCGGGCCTGGTAACGTCGCGGCAGGAAGTGCTCGCGAAATTCAGCTAGAAAATCTCTCCATGTCTTCCACGCGTGGCGGCGGTTCCGGAACCATAATAAGGGTTCGCCTTTTAAAATTTCGGACAGCCCGAGGAGAAGGTGGGCGCCGGAGAAATGGTACCCCTTCCTTAGCTCTTCGAGTCTCTCAAGGAACGCGGCCGAGTCCCTGCCATCAAAGTGGCATCCCCACTTGCGGATCTGGTCCATGGTCTTTGCCGGGTCAAACGGGCTGGCTATGGGGATCGGGGGGTTGGAGGCCAAGTAAAAGCTCGCCCGGTCGTCGTTGTCGTAAAGATTGGCGGAAATCCGTAGTGACGGAACGTTTAATGCTTCGCGGGCGAGCGGGGGGCCCTCGGTGTCGGATGCCTTGTGTCTCGGAAGTGATATCCCCCGAGTTTGCGCGGACGTATTTGCGTAACCGGCGTCGGAGGTCGTCCAAAGTGCCTTCACAATCGATGTCGCGGCTTTGTAAGAGTCGCGATACTTTGGAGCGTGCTAATTGTTGTATCCACGCGGTCTTCGCGAGCGGATTATTTTGATATGCCTCTTTATCTGGTCTCTGTTCGGGCGCCATGAAACGGTACGTTTGTCTGCGCGGAATAGTTCGCCGGAATCAGGAGTTCGGTCGGTTGGGGGCACGTTAAAAGAATGCGCTGTTTAGTGTAATAAGATATAACGAGGTATATTATGTAAGTTGAAGTTAGATATGTACAGCCGTGTGGATACGGAGAGTATAAATGTGGTGTCTGAATGTGTTACAAAATTATATTACGGCGGCGTAAGGCGGCGTGTAAAGGCCCGAGCACAGACTTTTACATAACGCATAAGGCATAATGCATAGAGCATAACGTAACGTTCTTCAACGCACAAGCTTGTGCATAAGGCTTTACATTCTAACCTTAAAATTATTTGAACACCGAAATCACATGGTGAGTAAGGCTGCCGGCACACAGGACGCGTTGATGCGTTACGCGTGACGGAAGACGATGCGATAGCCAATGAAACTCTTGCTTGCCCGGAAATAATAAATACATAACTTCCGTCTCGCGTAAAATGTTGAACTCAATCCAACTTTTGTCGCGTGGTACAGAAACGGAAGTTGGAAGACACGTAATTCTAGTAAATTTTCAGAACTTGCGCGAGACATTACCGTGTCTCTTGAAGTATATAATTTTATTATTTTGTTTTTATTATTATTTTCCAAAAAAGACATTTGTGCAGTGTACTGTGATCAAATAAGAAAAGATTTATTATAGATTACTATATAAAATAGATGTAAACGAAATAGTAAGAAAAATAAAAT